CCTCTGCTTCCAGCATTGAGATTAAACAATTTCTCTTCACAATAATCACTTCTGCATTCAGCCAGCTTTGTGCTAGAGCCGGGGCTTGACCCCAAGTTTCTGTCTGTACAGCCAAATCATCTCTAATCTGGACTTGGTGCTACAGAGAAAAATAAGGAGAGCCAAATGCACCAAGGGAGGAGTGATGTTCTGATGAGACAATGTACATTTTCTAGCATTCCTTCACTCCAGGCTCTGAATGCTCCCCAAACAGCCCAGAAGGAAGCCCTGGGCTGCAACATCCACTCTATGCAGCCAACAGAGTTGTCTCGCAGAAGACACTGTGGGCTGGATTTGGGCTCATGCCTGTGTGCAGCAGACAGCTGTTAAGCAGACCCCAGGGAGCTCAGGAAGGGAGCCCAAAATGCAGCTAATTCTAGCATCTCCTGTTACAAGGTGAAGCTCCTGCAGTTCCCAGGCAGTTAGCTGGGTCCCATCCTACCGTCTTCTGCACCTGCAGGTCTCTTCCTTTGGTACTAGACCCTGCTCAACACCGGCATTTTGGAGTGATCTGTACTAGGGTACCCAGACAGAGGCCGAGCCTCAGGTGCCAGCATAGAGCAGCCTGCAAGCTCTTAGCCCATGGTTTCTTCTTGAGGTGACAGGACAGCAGCGGGGCTGCAACAGGGTTTGCAGCTCAGGCCCCATCCTGAAGACAGACTGCTCCTTGGCTCGCCCACGTGCATACACAGCAGCTGGCTGTCCTGACCTGGCAGCGGGCACAGGGGCAGCCCTCTGCCCACTGCAGCTCCAGCTGCCTTCCCTGCCAGTAGCATACAGCACCTGGTCAAACCTGCCTCCTGTGTGTCCCGACAGCAGCATTCGACGGCTCTGTGCCCTGCTGTCTGCAAAATGGTCCTCAGCAGCTGTGCTGTTTCTTCTAAAAGCAGTCCCAGACCAGATGAGGCTTCTAGAGATAGGTCATTTGAACCTTGCTCTTGCAGCTGGTCCTGCCATGCAAAGGGGGCCCAGGTAAAACTGTTGGGTCAGCTTCCATTTTGGATGTGCTTCCTACAAGCACAAGAGCTCAGTGCCAGCCTCGGGTCTGTGCTCTGTATGTAGGAAACACTGACTTCTCCAGAGGCACAGCACATGCTCAGCCTGGCTCCACAGACTGGGGTTAGCCCCAAGCACCACCTCTGCCCCTTACAGATCCCAGGCTCTGGCCTCACCTTCCTGACCATCTTGCATCTGCCATTTCTGATCCATCAGATAGCAACAGTGACCCCTTTTCCTTTCCCTCTGCAGAGGTTCACAGTGAGTCTGGATGAGTTCATGGAAGAATTGAAGTTGACTAAACCCTTGGAAATCACCCACAGCTGAACAAATCCCCAAGCTGAAAGTTGTTGCTGGCTGGAAGAGTATTAAGAGAAGCATCACACATTCTGTGGGAGCTGTCCCTCCTTCTCTAAGCATCCACTTTGGCCCTGGTGTGGACACAGAGGGTCAAGACAAGATCCTGGAACAACGAGGCCCTTCGTCCACCCTGACTTAAGTCTTATAGCCTCCAGCAGCATCTATGCTGTCACTTCAAAAATGTGCTGCCCTGGCCTCAGTACAGAGCAAGGGGCAGGTGTGTTGCAAAGCACTCCTAGCTACTCTGTGAGTTTATGTAGTTCTCTCATTTGTTATTCCCTCTTAGACATTAGGAAATCAAATTACTTTCCCTCCCAATTAGTACTCCTTCATTATGGAAATAATGTCCTTTGATCTGCTCCTGCTGTCACAGAGCGGAACTGACCGTATTTGTTTTATTCCTCTCTATGCCCCAGGAAGGTACCCACCTCCGGGAGCCGGGACTATGCTTTTGGCAGGGAACAGAGAGCTGCAGCTGATAGCTGCTGCGAGCAAGAAGAAAAACCACCCACTTGGGCATCCCCAAGCACAAACCCTAGTGAGGTCTGGGAAGGCAGGAGCATGAGAAGAAGGAGGGGGGTCACCCTTCACTTTTCAGGCTGGGCTGCAGAGCAGAGGCTGTCAGAGCAGCAGAGGCAGGGAATGAACAGCTCCTCACAAACAAGCTCCAAGCTGGAAAGTAGCCCTGCCCTGGGGCGGCTCCATCCCAGACCCCTTCCAAGCAGAGAGCACAGCTGAACCTGAAACACTGAGGATCTGGGAAAACATCTGCACCTAAATGGAGCCGAGACCAGGCATGTTTGCCAGCAGGTCTCCCCAGGCTTTGACCTTGATCTTGATGTATTAACGGCCAATCCAAGCTCTCCTCAAGCTGCCCAGCCTTCCCACCCCTGCTTGGCCAGTACAGAGGATCACCTCCATCCACATTCAGGAAGGCAGCAAGGTGTGTTCCCCGTTCACTCTTGTGAAAACACCCCTCAGGTCTGGGGGAGATCATCTAGCCAGCTCAGAGACAGCAAACATCGCTACCGATACCAACCACAAAAAAGCGACGATTGCAGCTGCACCCGGTCTTGGTGCCACAAAAGGAGCGCTCTCACACAAACAGGGCCTGGTAGGGTATTTCCCATATGAAAGTCCTGAAACTTTACCTCTCTGGCCCAGGCAGCATCCCACATCCTGCATCCTCAGACCTTCCTACAGTGGCTGGAGCTGAACTTCACACAGCAGGTCCATGACCAAGCCCCGTCTTGCTGTGTCCACACAAGAGCCACAGGGGAGGAGCAGCGCAGCTGCCAAACCCCAGAGGGTTGAGGAGAAAGCTACTTCTCGGGCTTGCTTGTTTATGCTTTCACAGGATGTGTCCATCCTGTCCTTTGTGCTACCTGTTCCTGGGCACAGCACTGGTAAGTAGATGGAGACCCAGGAGGGAGCTGAGGACTTGCAGCATGTGGGTACCCTCTAGCTCTGCATTCATACTGCAGGGGACTCCGCAGCAGCGCCACATGAAGACGCTGTGTGAAGCTGTCCCTGTCCTGTTCGCTGGGCCATCTCCAGGGCTAGGTGGCTACAGAGGAGCCCCCTTAGGCTCACTGGGATGGCCAGGCTACAGAAAGCTCCAAGGTTGTCGCAGGCAGACAGACATCAGCCTGGTAAGGAGAACAGGCTCTTGGCGCCAGCTCCCCTCTCTGAGCATGCAACTTAGAAGCACAGCCCATGCCACTCACAGCACTTCCCTTTACTTTTAACTCCCGAGTATTCTAATTTGCAGGAATCGCCTCCTTTCATGTTGTGAAACCATGTTACTTTCTCCCTCTGATCTTCAATTTCGCATAGAAACTGTCTCCTTTGATATGTCTTGTTCACATCAGCCTGATCAGGCAGCTCCATAATTGTAAGTGATTTTCAAAGAACTGGGATCCTTGTCTAATACTCAGAGTCGAGAATTCCTTCCTTTTTAAATGTTGTTCAAGTAAAATAGATTAATTTAATTTCTTTCTTCCCTTTGGGAACAGGCTGCCTCCTGCTTACTACCCACATGCTGTCTTTCATTCCTGCAGGAGCACACGGCTGTAGTTCAAGGGGTCACTCTCTGACTTGGGAAAGGATTTGTGCAGGTAAACTGAAGAGGAAGGAGAGCTTGGGATGCCTCAGGAGAACTTGTTCTCCACCCATCAACAGAAATCCAGGCAGCAGCAGCTCCTCTGGTGTAGTCAATTCCTGCACATCTGTACCTGCTGGAGGCCATGCACCAGTCTCACAATATGCTGCACATTAGCCGTGGAGAGCCAGAGCTCTGTCCTGAGGCAGCACAGATGTGACCACCATCCCCTGCACCCTGCTTCCAGGACACCTCTTCAGCCAGACCTTCCTGCACAAGCACAGCTGTTTGCCTGACCTGCCAAGCCCCTCCTGCAGCTCAGCCCTGCTCCCCCAGGTGCTCTCCCTCCCAGAGCTCACTGCCTTCCTGGCACTGTCACTCTTCCCCCTTGCTGACTCATCCCTTGCTGACAGTGTTGGGGCCCTGCCTTATCTTTGATGTCAGTCAGTCTGTTGCAGGCTGTCTTCCACCTTGATGCAGCCTTTGGAGAACAGTGATTTATAGTTCCCTGCCTACCACGCACGCCAGCACACGCAGCCTGCTACACGCTCTGGCTAGTCAACGGGAGACAGCAGATAGCCCAATGTGGATGAGGACTGGTAAGCCAGCCACTCTCCCTCGGCTCGAGCTGTGCTCAGCAGCACGGGAACCCACCATCAGGCCAGACAGGGAGCAAGAGCTGCAATACTGCAGCTCACGCACCATCTCCCTGTAACCCTCCTGATGCTCAGGTGAGCACAAAGCCCACTGCCCTGCTCCACCAGCCATGGGGCGATGGACTCGCACAGCCCTGTGGCACATGCCCCAGCCTGGCCCTCAGCGATGGTGACCACCAACAGACTTAAAAGATGCCTGGTGGCAAGGGGATGGGCAGGCTACACTAACACGGGGAAGCCACACTTCTGTCACAGGGGCTGCGAATTCCCCGATCTCAGGCAACAACAGCTGGCCCTGCAGAGGAAGCCAGGCAAGAGGGGCTGCGCAGTGCTGCGTGGGGCTGCACAAGGGCATGGCTGGGCAGCCACGGGGCTCTGGAGAGCAACAAAGCAGCACACAGAGAACGGCCTGAGGAGGGGCTGGGGCACAGGCAGCCAGAGAGGGAGAAACACCACTCAGGCTAATCTGAACCACCGCCAGCTGTGAGCCCCTTGGCATACAAGGGCTCAGTCCACCCCTCTGCCCCCGCAGCGTTTGGGAGCGAGGGGGCTGTGCAAGACCATGGTAAATGCATGGTGGGCAGCTGGCACCACCACGACCTGTCTCCAGGGCACAGCTTAGGGCTGAGACTGAACGCTCAGCCACAGGCTGGCAATCAGCTCAGAGGATTTATTCACTTGTTTTCCTTAAGCCACCTTATTTATTTTTCCCTTTTGGCTCCCTAGCTCTGGTCTCAGCTGGAATCCCTGGGATTTGCAGGCATGTTTGCAGGGTCCAGCTGGCTCAAGGCTTGACGGGAGAGGCGCACAGGCTTCCCAACCCTCCTCCTCCCACTCAGGAGACCTACCGATGGGGGACAGCTCAGCCACGCTGCCAATGTAGGGCCCCTCCAGGAAGCGTGGCTCGCTGTCGTTGATGTCCTGCACCTTGATGATGAACTCTGACTCTGGCTCCAGCAGCTGGTCCGTCTGCCGGTCACGGGCCTGAGCCCGCAGTGTGTAGAAGGTTTTCTGCTCCCGGTCCAGGCGCTCGGTGGCGTGGATGTCACCTGTGATCTCATCGATGAGGAAGATAGTCCCTGCGCCTTCCCCGGAGATAGTGTACTTGAT